TTGGCTTGTTATAAAATAAAAAAACACATTTTATAATTAAATTGGGCCAACATGAGTAATGTTAATAACCCGACACATACATATACAATTTAGCGGGCTTGTTTGGCAAGCGGGCTACAAATAATTCAATGACCCAGCTCAAGTTAAAAACCTACAATATAATCCAACGACTTAGATTAAGTCAACAAAAATCAAGAATGATACAAAATTAGTATAAAACAGTTATGCTAAAAATTATAGGGTTTGTTTCATTTACGTGGGAATCTCGGACGCTCGAAATAATCTCGTCTGATTTTCTCTCATTCTTCCATAATTTCCATTTGAATTCGAATTTGATTTTTTTTTTTATTTTTCTTTTTTTCGACGATTGGTAGCCTAAGATAAAATATGAAAATCGATTAGTATGGTAAAACTCACAATTTTAGGGAAATTTAATGTTGACCGTAATTGGTGGCCCAAAATTATGAACGGTTTACAACCGATTTTCGCCAAGTATAAAAGCTTTTTTCCACCGAAAATTTAGGGTTATCTTCATTTTGCTGCGCATTTTCTCTCTTCAACCGCTTAATTCCGATTTTTTTTTCGAAAATCAGAACAAAATTGTGAAACAATTATGTAGAAAATGAAGATTGTCACTCGGATCTGTTGGATCTTACATGTTTTTGCAAGAAAAAAATAAGTCTTATTGGTCAGATATATGTATATGTACATATCTATACTTATGAAATCTATGTTATCGATTCAAAATATATGTTTCAGTCGTAAAAATGACGTTTGCTTTCGGATTTAAGCTCGTTTTCAAAGAAGGACCACTGTTTTCATTTTTGGTCGAAAATAAAACACAATTTTCTGTTCAATTTGACGATGAAATGCGTTTATATTGCAGAATTTTTTCAGATCCGATGAAATAAAATGCTTTTCTTTCAGAAACGAACAAAGATTGTGCGTTTATTTCGGTTCCAACGAAACTTGTTCGAATTTTTTTTTATTTATTTTCGTGTTATGTAGGCTTTGCTCTAATTAAAGGTATTGCTTTGTTTGCCCTACCGAAAGCCTTGCTGAAGTTATTCGTAATTGGAATGAAGAAAAGGTGCGCAACTCAAACTGAAAAATAATTATCGATATTTGATTTAAATTCAAAAGTTTTTTTGTAGAAAAATAAAAAAACAGAAATAAATACGACTGAATACTTAAGTTTATAAATTTATTAGTAAAAAATTGAAGAGCTGATATTTTTACTTAGATTTCGAACATAAATTGACAGATTCAAGTTACAAAGTTTTGTTGTAGTTAATTGATTTATATGATTGTCAATTTTTTTAAAGTTTTTTTTATGGAGATCTCGTTTGTTATGTGTTTTTTACAGTGTTTTTCTAACACGTGTATTTTTTTAGGAAATGAATAAGAATATTGATTAAGCACACGTTTTAATTTTATATAGTTAATATAAAAATACTAACTATTAAAATTTCCAATATATTATTTTATAATTTGTTTGATTCTACATTAAATTAAATACGGTTACAGTATAGATTATTCTCTTTGAAATGGATCATTAACAATCTATGTTCTAATTTGAATTCTTAAATTTTATATATTTTATATATCATGTAAAATTAATCTATTCTTTTTGAAATGGATAAGCTCTAAAGAGTTTGGTCATTAACAAACTCTGTTTTACTTTGATTTCTTAAAATTAATATAAGCACGTGTTTTGTGTTTTTTCTTTTTTTTTTNTTTTTTTTTTTGTTTTGCAAATTAATGACAAATTTGATTATTTATATTCTTATATTTTTATATGAAAAATAATATTTAGGAAGAATTTCAATAGTTTACAGATTACGAACCAGAAAACCTAAACAAAAAGCAAATTTCAGTTTCAAATGGGGATAAGAAAACAAAAACAAAATGTCGAATATGTATAATATTTCACATAAAAATCGGTTAATTTTGTTATTTTTATTTTTTAAGTTTATGAATGTATTAGTCTGCATGATGATATTTTTAATTGAGTTAAATAATAAAGAAAGAATGAATAAACAATGTTAAATAAAATACGTAATACCATGCATGAACCAAAAACAAAATATATTCAAGAGCAAATAACATGTTTTATTCAATCATCCCAAGTTCTCAAACCATAAAATATAATATTAAAATAAAATTATTATTGAATAGGAAAAAATAAATTCTTATTGTAGATTGACAACATTCGTCCATATTATTGCCTAATGATGATAATCATGTATCTTTGCCTTGCCATTCCCAGATTTTTGCTGATTCCATAGTCGGGTCATTTGAATGAAGTGCTTGATTGTACGATTTGAGTGCGTCCATGGAAGATCAATCTAAATTGAGTCGTGGTCGACATATAGTCACCGAAATTACTATCCAATTCATAATTACGGATACAATAGACATTGCCTTCCTGTAGGTCATTTATCATCCTCGAAATATGAACATTGCATACCACACCACTGATTTGTGCCCCCTACAAATATAAGAAATTTATGATGAAACAACATGATAGTGTATGCAGTTAAAATAGTAATAAATAAAAATTAAATAGAGAAATACCTCCCTATCTTGAAAAAAGGATCTTCAAGATGTTGTGTTGAAGATTTGGTGACTCGTGCTCATTCATTGAAACCACATGAAGTTTTAGCGGATATCTCTTATTTCTTCGAATACGTTAATCACACCGAAGGAGATTTCCATTGCCGAATGATGTTGTTTTTGATATTTGGGAATGTGTATTTTATAGATGCGTGCATGGTGTATTTTTCTGTTTAGTATGTACGGTATTTATTGGATGCAGAAACATTAAATCCCTTCATTTAAGGGATTTTAGTTTATTTGAATTATCGGATAAACCAAATTAAAAAATGAGTTTTAAAATTCTAAATCTCTTCAATTAAAAAAATGAGTTTTTAATTATATACAATTTTGTTGAATTGTATAGAATCTCTCAACAGACTCGGTAAAATATTGATTGGATTGTGTATTTTTGAATATTAAATCCCTTCAATTGAGGGATTATTTGTTTCTATAAAATATCTTGCT